CTCTTTGTACAGACTGTGAAAACACAACCTCCACTGAGGACAATAAAGAATGAATCTGAATCTGGGTAGTCCTTATAAAGGGTGTTTTTATAATATTAGAACCATATTAAAAGTTGCTAAGTGCTCCAAAGCCTAGTATTAGCTTCAGGTGAACTTAAAGAAAGATTTTTGCTTAGAATTTGAATTTTTGTGGATTTTGTTAGTGTAGTCTCTCTACAAAGATGCTGTTTCAGTATGGAGACAGGAGACGACTACATCACCCCGTAACTCTTTCTACGTACACATGGCATGTGGGTATTGTATTAAAATAGACTTGAATCAGAACCTTCTCTGTGAGAGTGAAGAAACAGATTCAAGTATCTTTGACTAGTAACACTGCCAGCATCAGGGCTTCACTTCCCACTGGGGCCAGTCATGTACTAAAAATACATGTAAGCACTCGTGTTGGATGCAAGTGCCCACCAGAAAGCACTAGTTATTTTAATATTAGCTGTCGAGCAGCACAGATGTGCCAGGAAGGTACACCCTCTGGGGAAGCAGAATTTTCTGGGACGTGAAGCATCACTGCCATGCTGACTATTAGAGGGTTAAGTCAAGTTTTTTAAGAAGTAAACACCGCAGCCGGCCAACGAGTGGTCAGGGTTCTAGTACAGTAGTTCAGAAACTGCCTTCCTTCCGTTATTTTGATGCATCCATCAAAAAAGGTCCCACAACAAAGAATAGGGATCCCACTGCAGGTTAGAGAAGTTGAAAGTTGTCTCAAAATCCTGACAGTTTTATCAGCGTGCCTTGACCTCGTTCTTCTTCCAGGATTATAGTTAAATCAAAACATGTTGTCCCGCTTATTTGCCCACACTGCTGTAAACTGGTTTATTCTGCAGAACACTTGTCTGAATAGGACATTAAAGTGTTCTTATGTAATTCTGTTAATTATATATTCCAGTACCATTAATTCTCTAAGACACACACAGAGATGTAACCTCTGTAGGTTAAGTTCCACTTTCATATGCCCCTTTGCTGAACCACTGCTGAACACTGGTTTCATAAACAAGATCAACTATTCAAATACAGATTCGCATAAACAAACTTTTTTTCCCCTTTTTTGAAGGAGCTCGTAACTAGTTTGGTAAGGGAGAAATGTAGGCTAGTTGTTGTATAAAGTCAGACTTCAAAAATAGCCACAACTGCAGTAATATTTCCATGACAAATATGTCCCAGCGCGCACTGTTAAAAAGTTGCACTTTATGATAGCTCTTTTAGTTTCCTCCATCCAGCAGTTTGGACTTATGTAGCCAAGAAATTTGTCATTCAGGTCACTATTACTTCAAAGGGCACTTGCTTTAACAGCAGCCAAGTTTTAAATTAAAACATGACAGCTTGAGTGAAAAAAAGAGAATACTTTTTCATTGCATTTTCAAAAATGTTTTGGAAATTTTACATTCTCCAGGGCTTTAAAACATTCCATTTGCACAGCTAGAGACAACATTCCATTTGTAAAACATTCACAAAAAAGTTTTCCATAAATGTGAACTCTGAAAGTCCCAACTTGATTTTAAAAATAGGGAAATAGTGGTAATTCACTTTTAAAAGCCATGATTCAACAACTCTAAGGTGAGAATCTGCTGGACAGCTGGACGTGAATATGTGAGTGAATCTTATTGTTGCTAACACTGATGTTTAATCCAAATGTTTTGTGGCTAGAGATGCTGGTTGGGGTATCTTTGCTGGCGCTGCAGATAACAGCATGGCACCACCTTCATCTGTCCCCACAGGGAACATGGCACGGAGACAGAGAGAGCCGAGAGAGAGAAAGAGTGAGATTAAGACACCGAAAAAAGTCGGAGTGAAGAAGAGCAAACAATTTCCACGTTAATTAGCATCCCTCTCCTCCCCCGCAACACAAACAATGCGGCGCCCACAGAACCAGAAGCAAACAGGGACAAGGCTGCGAGCTCGCTAACTTTAGGTCTCTGCTCATCTGTGCTGAATCAGTGGCAGGCAGAGTACACATCAAAAAAAGACTGAGCTGTGGGATTAAGAGCAAGTCAGAGGGAGTGGTGGGAGGCTGGAAGGAAAGAAAAGGGAGAGGGGAGCGCGGGAGGAGGAAGAGATAGGGATTGAACAAGAGAGACAGACATAGAGAGGGAAGCAAGGGACTGAAGAGAGGAGAAAGAGGGGGAAAACAGAACAGAGGGGGAGATGGAGAGCTGGAGATGAAAGGGGAAAGGTAGGAGGAAAGCAAAAGAGGGAGATAGGATGGAGAGAAACAGGGATTGAGGCAAAAAAAAGGGAGGAAGAGGACAGAAAAGGAAAGGAGGAGGAGAAGATGCTATTGGAGAGGGAAAGAAAGGAGGAAGAAAGGTGATAAAAAAAAGATGGTGAAGGTAAAGAAAAAGATGGAGCGAGCAGCACTGGGAGTTAAGAGAGGGGCTGTTCTGTTTATGGATTGCTGTGATGCCTGCTTCCTGCGCGCAGCAGGCGCTGGTTGCATGCTTCAAATGCTGACATGCAAACATTCGAATGCTGACGCGTGTGTACAAACACACGAGCTTCATGAGTGACTAACTGCAGGGTCGGCATTTGTATGCAAAGGAGGTGAGGTGTAGAACAGCACTCACCATCCAAAATAAACCTGTGTGGTTATTCAGTAGATGTTCAGTAAGCGTCTGTATTGGCAAAATAAAGGAGAATCTCTCAAATCAGCCCCATCAAATCTCTCCGCCTGTACATGGCTGCTGAATCAATGAAGGCAGCATGACTTGGAGCAGGCAGCTATTTTTTTAAGGCATTGTGGAGAGCACACTAACGTAAAAAGTCCCACAATTCTCCCCTGTGTTGCAGGCACACACAAACACACTCCACTGGATACACAGGAGAAACAAATACACACGTGCAGTCAAGCATGGATGGAACACACTTGTCTACCCAACTTTTGGTCCCTCTCATTTTTAAAATCAATAACACATTACAGCAGTTCCTGAAGAAGTAGAATGCAGGCCCGGGGATTCATCACAGCTCAGCACATGCACGTGTGTTCAGCCTTGCCAGCGAAAAAACCAGTGTCTCCATCATTACAAAGCAGCATGTTGCTCTGCCAAGAAGCTCTGAGAAATGTCCTTTTAAATTTTTTAAAAATTTAAAAGGACATTTCGATTTCTAAAGATAGCAGAGACTGTATATCAGGGTGAATCATGGGGAAATGTGTGCAGAGTAATGCAAGACAAATATATCTCCTTTCCAGAACATGCAATCATAGGTTTGAATATTCGAATATTTTGACTTTAAAAGAGCAACAGTAGCTGATTCACCAGTCTTAGTTTCGCTTAATGCAAGTGGTTTAACTTGTGTCAGTACAGAGTGACATCTCTTCATGAAATTAACTGCAGCCATAGAAGAGGTGCAGATTTTGCAATCCATACTGGCCCACAGAGAGGTGAGAGAACTAAATAATTAGGCATTTTGTGTGTCTTTGGTATTCTTTACTCCATACAAATTAGATAACTATGTCATGCCTTTGCCATATATAGGGGGAAAAAATCTGGTTGCAAAACAAAAGGGCATTTGGAAGTGGGTATACCCCGTGCTGGCTGAAAAATAAGTAGGTATACTCCATATACCTGCACATACCTTGCACTATGGCACTGCTTATACTGCTTTATACTGTATACTAGAGTTGTGTTGTGAGTCCATGGTGGCTGAAAACAACATGCAGCTTTAAGTTTAGCAAAAAAAAAGATCATGCTCGAAAAATAATATTGATCGTTAGCCTGAGATGGTGCGCAAACTCAAACCAGACACGCTACATAAAAAGGACACACTACTATCTGCTTTGTTACTGAAAGGTTGGTAATAAATGATGTGCTGCTGAAGACAAATTTCCAAGTGATAATGGGAAGTTAACACATTCATATTTCACAGTGGTTTATTTTCTGCAGACCTCGGTTTCCCTGTTTACTTGGTGGACTGCGGAGATACCATTTATAAAGTGTCTGTGCTTGTGTGTGCATGATGTGGGTTAATAAAATAAGAGAGTGGGAGCGTCATGTGTCTGCATTTGCCTGTGTGTGCTGACCGCTAAGCAGCTCCTATAAACCAGTGAGCTGCAGCGCTTCTTCATAGTAATGGCTGGTGCACAGCAGCTTGGTAGATCCATCACTGTGGTTCACACTGCATCTCACACACACACACACGCACACACACGCGTGCACACACGCGTCGAAGGCGAACGCTGCCACTTTAACACCAACACGTCTGTGTTTTGGAGTGAGTGAACTGACAGAAGGGAAGAGGAGAGCTGCTCACCTGAAGAATGTGACAAAGAACTGCACCAGATCCATGAAGTTACTGTGCTGGGAGAAGGCGATCTGCAGAAGGGGGAAAAAAGGACAATAGACAGAGTCAGAAATCTGCTTTAATAAGGGAGATTTTGAAAACAAGAGGTCAGCACTATACACTCATAAACATGCAAGCTTTACACTGGAGTAGACCTTGATCTGACTAAAGGCACACAAACAAGCAGGAGAGATAATGCTGCCTCTGCTCACAATGGCAGACAGTGCATTTGTATGTATTGTATATTGTTGGTCATACATGTATATTTATGACACCAACCTGTGCCTTTACATGCATAAATAATAGTGCATATATTTCTCGCGATCCGCAAGCTACGTCAAAGTCTCGAGATAAGATTGCAAAGGATTTTTTTTTTTCTTAATGGATCACACAAGTCATCATTTACAACCAATGGGAGGTTCCCAGTCTGTCTGCTTATCTGTGTTCCAGACTGCACGCCTGTCAAAGTGACACGCCAGTAGCCGGGCCTCTCAGCTGCCCACAGCCTGCAAACGAAAACATAATTCCTGCACATGTGGGCAGAAATATTCACTATATAATCATCACAAGAGCAATTGTACTAACGACATCCTGTCTTAATCAAGGTTGCCAGGGGTAACATTGGCAGCGCCCTTGTACCAGCTCCCCACCCCCTTCTCCTCCACCTCCTCCTCTCGACACTAATGCCTAAAAGCCCCCCCCCCCCCAAA